CCACAGGGCCACAGCAACCATCGATAACATGCAAACGAATGAGTGCAGCTATGTTCTAATACAACGATTCATGAGCTAACATCTGAATCTCATATTATTTTCATGTGTCTCGAAACATTTTTTTGTTTAAACCACTTAAAAATGTAAAAACCACTCGTAGCTGCAGGGCTATAAGGAACAGGTGGCAGGTGCATTTCCATGTGACTCAGGTCTTTGCCTCTGGTACTACTTTGGTGCAGGTGAGAAGCTGGAAAGAAGAGCTGATTCATACTTTCTGGAAAAAGGTTCTACAGGATCAGCTGACTGACTTCTCTACTCTCTTCTGTCTTGCCTCCATTTTTAACCTAGAAATAATCTGAAATTAGACCTGTTGAGCTAGCAAAGACTAGAGAATGCACTTGCTAACATCTAATGCTAACAGTGCAGACCGATAAGAAGTTATTCACCTCTTTAAATAATTAAAGTCCTCTCATTATAGAGAAATAACTTACCAATTTTAGTTGAAACACAATTCTACATCTTCCCGCCATTCCTGACTCAAAAGTCATTGCCTAAATGAATGCCATGCAAATAGGAGCAGTGAACTATTGGTTTTCATTTATAAGAAATGGCCTGGAGGCGGGGGGAAAGGGGGGACACTATGAAAAAGATTAACAATACTCGCTTTAAAAAGCTAGGAAAAAATATGTACTTTTGGTGGCTATGTAAATCAGTGCAATCCTTCTGGAGGTCTGTTAGCAAAATTCACCAGAGATTAAAATGTACATAACTTTGGACTTAACAATTATACTTCCAGGATTTATCTTAAGAAGATAATCAGACAAGTGAGCACACAAATATATAACAGTGAGCTTCATATTCGGAAGAACTGTTAATATCATAAAAAGATTAAAACTATTTAAATGTTCAACTGGTTAAACAGTGGAAGGAATGCAATGGAATCCTAGGGGGCCATAAGAAATAATTATGCAGATGAAACGATCTGACACGGATATGTCTACAGCACACTGAAAGAGAAAAGCACGTAACAAAACTGCATGTGCTGTTTGATCTCAATTGCATGAAGTGTCTATATATGGTGTTTGTATATGCACCAGTGTACGTAAGAGACAGAAGAAAAACAGAGACACAGAAGCAGAGACTTAGAAGAATGTTCACCAAAATATTCACAGATGATTTTTACTTTATTGTTTATAGTTTTCGGTATTGTTTACATTACTTTACAATGAGCATGTATTACATTTATAATTTTAAAAAGACTTATTAGAATGTACACCAAGAATGAACCCTAATGAAAACTATGAACTTTAAGTGATAATGCTGCGTAAGTGCAGGTCCCTCGAATGTCTAACAAATGCACCGCTCTGCTGCGATAGTGGAGGGAGGTGGCGGTGTGCGGAATTCTCTGTACTTCCTGCTCAATTTTGCCATGAACCTGCTCTAAAAAAGACCATAGAACTGCTCTAAAAAATAAAGTCTATTAAAAAAAAAAAAACGTATCAGAACAATTCACAGGCAAACAACTCAGAAGTTCATCTCATGGGAAGCGATCTGAGACCCATGGAAGTGAATCTGAAAGGCTTTTGTCAGAAGCGGTTAGAATACTGCAGATGGCTCAGCATGTGGGGGTGGGGGGTACTCACAGCAAGTATCACACACGGAGTCCAGCAGTTAAGCTGGCTAGCAAGCAGTTCCTCTCCAGAAATTGCTCAAAGAATGCTCTCCTCTTAGGAGAACCTGACTGTTTTGTGCATTCACCCTGAGGATATTTGACTGTTTCTCTCCTGTTGTTTCTGATTTAATGGAATGTTTTCAGTGAAAGCTTAGCGAACTTAAGACTGCGTTAGATAATCAAGGGCTCAAGAAAAGCAATTGAACACTTTGTCTTAGATTAGCTTTAAAATGGAGTTCTAGCTGGGGCAAGAGACCAGGCTCCTAAAAGATAAGCCAGTCTTAAGGGGCTTTAATGGAAGAACAAATGCCAAGATGAGATTTTAATGATAAGCTGTTTGTTACGTTAATAAGAGGCATTCTGATGCAAGTCTGAGGCTAACACCAAGGTTGGAATAAATTAATGGGGATATACTAAATTTTATTTGGTGTTTCCTTTTTTTTTTTTAAAGATTTTATTTATTTATTTGAGAGAGAGAGAATGAGAGAGAGCACATGAGAGG